AAAGCCTATTTTCGACCCACCCTAATATACATACATACATACATACATACAATAACAAAATCTCACTAAGAAATCATCAAAATGCTTAAATTTAAATCAATTTTTATTTAAAGAAATATCTAAATTTATAAGTTTAGTAATTTATAATTTTATAAATTTTAAATTAATTAACAATTTCTATTAGCAATAATTATCAATTACTTTGTTTACTTTTGTCAAATTTAAACACAAAAACATACAATATACTAAAACAAATTGCATACAATAACAAAGTCTTAATGAACAAACAACCCATCAAGTTTTATTGTTCAGTCGGCTTGATTTGTACTAACCAGTCAAACTATCAGTTTTTTTTACGTCCCTTAGTAAGAAAACGAAACCAAGAACTAAGCAATACGTAAGCAGCACACGCAAAACTGTTTTTACTGTTCAGTCGTTGTGTTCAGTTCGGCTGAGTTGAAAAACTTAACATGGCCGCTGCTTGTGTGTGTGGCTGCTGAAGAAAAACAAAACCACTTGCAAGTTATTGCAGCAATGAGTTGACACAGTTGACTGACTTCAGTTAGCTTGTAAGGGGAAATTTTAACGAGTTACTATTTTTTAAGCATGGTACTAAATTTAGTCAAATATTTAGTAATTTGCGACTGCAATTAGCAGTTTTTTGAAACCCTGGTCCCAATATCGATAACTTTGAGGCAACTAACACCAAGTTTTATGTCATACAAAGTTCACACGAGCAGTTGAATTATTTATAATTCGGCCTCTGAATGATAATAGTCAATTAACTCGTTTCTACTACACATTCGTTATTCGTTTTGGCAGTTCATCGCCATGTTGTTTTTTTTTTCATTCATTATTTTGTAATTTTTTGGAATATTTGTGTGTGTATGATAAAAAAATACGTTTGTTACATTATTTTAACAAATTAAGCTATATTTATTTCCATTTTTTTGTAATTTCATTTTTTATTTGTCTCCAACCAATGAAAGCAATCAGCTGATTATGATAAATACCCGATAAAAATTAGAGATGACACTCATTCATTTGTAATTCGTACGTAATTCAAACGGAATTACGTAAGTAAGTAAGTCTTTTTATTAAGTCTTCTTCTTTTTCATTAATATTGATTTTCAATTGTAATTCAGATCTGAGTTGGGGAACAACTCTCGCGTCATCTTTTTTATTTCGTAAGGACGGTCAGGCTTGTGCTTGTTGCCGAGCTTTCGACATATAACTATATAACTGTTTCTAAGTTATGCGTTGTCTTCATTAAACGAGTGCTTTCGTTTTACCTCAGAGTGAGGTTATGTTTATGTTAACTGATGGAGACCATAAAATACTCACCATATAACCTGGTGGAGACCATTTAAACTCAAATATATACTGGTGGAGACCATTAAAACTCTAAAACTTATTTCTGGTGGAGACCAATAATACTTTTGATAAAATTAAGTTCGGTGCTCCAACTTCCTATTTGAAGGTATTGGACCAAAAGCCTAATCTAGCGCGCAATAGTGTTTAACTCGACTTAGAATTTTGAAATTTGGAATGCGACTAGAAAATTAAATGAGCTACAATATCGATGAAATGGGAATAATATTTAATAGGCGTGGCACATATTATAAGTGTCAAAATACAATATACTGAAAGGAACCTTTTATTACACATCTTCTGTATATAAACATTGTTTGGAGATCCGATTTTCTTGAAATATTCGGAGGTTGTTGAAGTATTTCTCATCGGACACTTTTTTCTGAATCTTTAGGGGGGCGAGGTGCCATGCGTATATAAAAAATTGATATCAAAAGTATATATGAGAAACGACATCAGCTAGAGTTCTTAAATGTTATCAAAGCAACATTAACATCTACGCAAATGCTTAAGGGAAAATGTGCGGACTAGCAATAGTGGGCGTGGTACCTTCCATATGTTTTAAATATGTAAAATTATTAAATCTATGAAACTATAACTACTACACCATTTCCAATTGAATTTCAGAAATTTCTAATTATATTTCAGAAACTTCTAATTATGTTTCAGAAATTTCTTGTTATATTTCAGAAATTTCTAATTATGTTTCAGAAATATATTTTATATTTCAGAAAATTCTAATTATATTTCAGAAATAAATTGTTTATTTCAGAAATTTCTAATTATATTTCAAAACTTTCTAGTTATATTTCAGAAAGTTTTAATTATATTTCAGAAAATTCTATTTATATATCAGAAATTTCTAATTATATTTCAGAAATTTCCAATTGTATTTCAGAACTTTCCTTTAATTATATTTCAGAAAATTCTATTTATATATCAGAAATTTCTAATTATATTTCAGAAATTTCCAATTGTATTTCAGAACTTTCCATTTGTATTTCAGAATTTTCCATTATTATTTCAGGAAATTTAAATTTAATTTAAATATTAATTCCTATTGTATTTCAGAAATTTCCAATTCTATTTCAGAACTTTCCATTTGTGTTTCAGAATTTTCCATTTCTATTTCAGAAATTTTTAATAGAATTTTCATGTAAAATTTCTGAAATTCAAATAGAAAATTCTAAAATACAAATGGAAAGTTGTGAAATACAATTGGAAATTTCTGAAACACAACTGGAATAAATATTTAGTTAAATTTAAAATTTCTGAAATAATTATGGAAAATTTTGAAATACAAATGAAAAGTTCTGAAATAGAATTGGTAATTTCAGAAATATAATTAGACATATTTGGTATATAATAGGAAATTTCTGAAAAATAATTGGAAATTTCTGAAATATAACTAGAAAGTTTTAAAATATAACTAGAAATTTCTGAAATAAAAAATCTATTTCTGAAATATAATTAGAATATTCTGAAACACAAAATATATTTCTTAAACATTATTAGAAATTTCTGGAATATAACTAGAAATTTCTGAAACATAATTAGAAGTTTCTGAAATATAATTAGAAATTTCTGAAATTCAATTGGAAAGTTCTGATATACAATTGGAAATGGTGTAGAGTAAATCTGGGAAACCATAACAATTAGAGTTATTAAGTATTGTACTGTATTATACAGTATACAATAAGTATAAATCTTTAAAACAAATATAGGCGTACCGCCAATAGTGGGACTGGCAACTACCATATGCATTTAATACTAACAAGTAAGAGTGTATAATCGGGCGTGGCCGACCATATGATACCCTACACCAGTTATGAATATTAAATGTGATTTATTTTTCATAATAAAGCATTTATCTTCAATATTCCTTTGTTCCGATACATTTAAGCAATTTATGGATGAAAAACTAATTTTCTGAAAGAGGCTTTATATATGGGGGCTAGGGGCAAATATGGACCCAGCCCGATAAAATTTTTTGAATATATTTATATTTACATAATATTTTATTGTGCTGAATTTCATCGCGATATTTGTGTTTATAAGTTAATTTGGGACATTCTGAAGGGGACTTTGTATGGGAGCTAGGGTCAAATGGGGCCCGATCTTTATGAAATTTGGCAGGGTCATCAAGACTTCTATAAAAATTAGTTATGCCGTATTTTATCGATATATCTGTATATTTAACATAATTATGAGCTCAGAAGCCCTTTTCGGGGGGTTCTGTTCTATGGGGGCTAGGTGAAATAATGGACCGATTTTAACAATAGGCTTCGTCCTTGGGTCAAATAAAACGTGCGTACCAAATTTCATCCAATTATCTTGAAAATTGCGACCTGTACCTAGCGCACAAGGTTTACATGGACAGCCAGCCAGACGGACGGACGGACATAGCTTAATCGACTCAGAAAACAATCCTAAGCCGACTGGTATACTGGGTCTACGACGAATATTTTTATATGTTACAAAAATCAGCACAAATCCAATATACCCTCCCCACTAAAGTGGTGTAGGGTATAAAAATGGTATATCATAGACACTATAACAGCTAAAGTTTAAACTTAACACGAGAAACGGTACTTTTGGTACTATTCGTTAAAAAATTCGGCGCACTACCAGTTGTGGGCATCACCCAAATGAAGTCAATACTCAAATTCATATATCTGGGAAATAACCATTTGGCAACTTTTCATAATTAGCTTCGAATTTTTGCCGCGGCCTATTCACACTTGAAATTCTAGCAAAGATCATGAAGAAATGTTTGGACATTTTGCTTTAATTTATTGTTATTATCACTATGTCCCAGGAAAAACTTACATTGAAATGTAATGAGTTAAAAAGCTAATAAAACCTCTTTTTACTACTTCTTCACTAGCATTTTAACTCATTAATGCCCACGGCGATCTACGTAAGGTAGAAATGTGAAATTTGGATATGAGAGTTTACTTGTGTATATAAAACGATTTCAATTAAAAAAATGGTTCTATCTTGCCTTGTTTGGATTTTAGAAGACGTTACGTATACGTAACAGTGGGCATTACCCACGAATTTTTGTCCCTTAAGTATTTTAAGTAAAAGTTACATATTTTTACAAAAAAAAAAAAAAAATCGTAAAAACTGGTTAATTATTAAGTTCTAAGCTTGGATTAGGTAATTTGGTGTATCATACAAAATTTTTTTATATAAAATAAAAAATAATTTAAAAGTGTAAAATTTTAATTTGTGGAATTTTGTAATTTCTGTAATGTCAATTAATGAATTTAAAGAAATTTGATATTTTCTTGCAGCAACAGATATATTGACTAACGATAAGGTAGAATTACCCGAACGTTGCTGTCCACGTACTGTAACGTACCGTACTGTTAGCACGTTGGTGCAGTTATAGAACATTTAAAAACGTATTATATTTTTTTGACAAACTTCAAATTTTGAAGTTGTTTTTTTACAATAAAATTAATTGTTATAAAATGGATTTAGAAGATATTTTTATTAATTTCAACTTTTTAAAACTTATTCAAATGTACAAAAAAAGAAGATATAAAAAACGCCGCGTTAGAAGATGGGGTGTTCGCTCGTATAAAAAACATCGACGAAGAACAACTTTTAAACACACTCGAATGACTCGAGAACTTTTTGATTTGCTTCTTGCCTTGGTTCGCGATAAATTAACAAAGCTAAGGCAACGTATTGGACCAGAAGAGAGAGTAGCTATTACTCTTCTGTAAGTAAACAAATTACAAATTATTTATGTTTCTATTTGAAAATTAAACTCAATTTTATGTACAAACATATGTACTTATATAGCTATTTGGGTCACGGATGTTCTTTGCAGTCTATAGCATGGAGCCATAAGCTTGGAAAGTTGACCGTGCGCGGGATTGTTCTCCAAACTTGTGAAGTTTTGTGGCGCACACTTTCACCAATTTACCTCAGTGAACCCACTACTCAGCAATACAAAGACATCGAAAAAGATTTTAATTCTATGTGGAATGCTCCCAATTGTGTAGGTGCCATAGATGGCAAACATGTTGGAATAAAAAATCCACCCAATTCAGGGTCAATGTTTTATAATTATAAAAAACATTTTAGTTTAGTACTATTGGGAGTATGTGACGCTAAATACACTTTTACATCGGTCAGTGTCGGAAGCTTTGGCAGTCAAAGCGATTCAGGTATTGTTTTAAACTAGTACAGCAAAATTCAATATAACGAATCCCATTGTAACTAAATACTCAATATACATATATAGACTAATATAGACTAGACTATAGACTAGACTTTAGACTAGTTTATAAACTAGACTATAGTCTATATATGTATATTGAGTTATATATACATATATGTATATACATATATTTTGTTATAGGAATATTTCGGTTGTCACCTTTTGGAGAGTCTGTAATGACGGGAAACGTACCTGTGCCACCACATAAACCACTCAGTGCATCCACTGATGATCCATTTCCGCATTACTTCATAGGTGACGCTGATTTTCCTCTACGGAATAATTTAATGCGTCCAGGCTCAAATTTAGATACCAAAAAAGCTATATATAACTATAGACTCTCTCGGGCAAGACGTGTAATTGAAAACTCTTTTGGAATATTATGTGTTCGTTGGAGAATACTCTTGACAACAATCGAAATGGCACCGGAAAATGTAGATGTTGTTGTACTTGCATGCACGGCTCTTCACAATTTTATTATGTTAAATGATCAAAAACGATGGTACTGTCCAGAGGGATATGTAGATCGAGAGGCAAAAGATGGCACTGTGCAAGAAGGAGAGTGGAGGAAGCATCTTCGAAATAGTGCTGAAAGACCTATGCGATCCTTCGCAACAAATATTAGAAGATCCACTCAAACGGCAATGGATTTGAGAGATAGGTTGGCAGATTATTTTTGTAATGAAGGTGTATTGCCATTCCAATACAGAATGATATAATTACACAAGCCGAAAAAATTGTTACCCAGAGGCCAAGGCATACTTTCCTAAAGGATTAAACTCCCAATCCCAATTAGGTTGACATCTGAATTTATCTACTTCACTGATTATCTTATTTACATTGTTATTTTTGGAATTATAATACATATAATATTCCAGTTTTGTAGGAAATGAGATGTATATATACTAAAAAAACATTAACCAGCTCCCAGAAAAAAAACAGAAACAATTTATTAAACAAAACTGTTCTTTTGTTAATAAATAATAGTGGCCTCCGGTAGGTTAGTGGTTAGTGTTCTAGTCTGGTAGACCGGAGGTGGTGCGTTCGATTCCCACCGGAGGCACTGGTTAAGGAGCGCACAACAGGCCCGATAGAGGCCTAGGTGTATGTCTTCGGATTTGATGTACATATGTACATCCTCCTTTCAAACTACTAACTAACTAACTAACTAACTAACTAACTAACTAACTAACTAACTAACTAACTAACTAACTAACTAACTAACTAACTACTAACTAACTAACTAACTAACTACTAACTAACTAACTAACTAACTAACTAACTAACTAACTACTAACTAACTAACTAACTAACTAACTAACTAACTAACTAACTAACTAACTAACTAACTAACTAACTAACTAACTAACTAACTAACTAACTAACTAACTAACTAACTAACTAACTAACTAACTAACTAACTAACTAACTAACTAACTAACTAACTAACTAACTAACTAACTAACTAACTACTAACTAACTAACTAACTAACTAACTAACTAACTAACTAACTAACTAACTAACTAACTAACTAACTAACTAACTAACTAACTAACTACTACTAACTAACTAACTAACTAACTAACTAACTAACTAACTAACTAACTAACTAACTAACTAACTAACTAACTAACTAACTAACTAACTAACTAACTAACTAACTAACTAACTAACTAACTAACTAACTAACTAACTAACTAACTAACTAACTAACTAACTATCTAACTAACTAACTAACTAACTTACTAATAAATAAAATTAATTAAAAAAATTAAAAATAACTCTTTTTAATCACAAAATTCTAATACATCACGGTGATACAATTTTACAATATAAACACATGAGGCCATATATATGTATTAAAACTGCGTTTTCAGTTTTTCGTTTTCTGATATTTTTTCCTTTTTATATACTGTAAAGTTTTAAGGATATAAAAATTTATTAAAATATTTCTATCCATTAGTTCTGGTTTTGTCCAAGTCCAAAAACTAATGTCCATGTTAGTAAAATACTGGACATTACTTTTTGGACTTAGACAAAACCAGATCTAATGGATATAAATATTTTAATCAATATTTATATCCTTAAAACTTTATAGTATATAAAAAGGAGAAAAGATCAGAATATGAAAAACTAAAATCGCAGATTTACTGTATATGGCCTTTAGAATCAAGTGTATATGGTCTCGTTGAACTCTAATTGTTGTCGCACGGTGTATTATAGGATAACATATTTAGAAATAATTAAAATAAAAATAGTTAAGTATAAAATATTTTTCAGTCATCTGGTTCCAATTTCATTTCCATCACTATAGACGTCACCTTTTGCATGGCCTTAATTTGCTTCACAGGACCCATGCTCTGAATCGTTGCCACTATCATTTTCGCAAAGCCATCAATTGGATTTTTCTCCTCTTCTTTTTCCCCTAATTTTTTTACAGAGTTTTTTAAAAGACTCAATGGCTCCTGTAAAATTGATTTCATCGTCTGTTTCCGGATTATTCCGCTTCCGTTTCGGAACTGTTGAAGTAGTTGGTGATAGGGAAATTGGCGAGAACTCAGATGCAGACGATTGAGATGTTGATGATTGTGATGTTGAGGATAGTGTTGTTGATGATTGAGATTCATCAAGAAAAATAGATGATATTTTAACTGGGGACACTGTATACTGTTGGGAAGATATGTCTTCTGTAGTGAGAGACTCTATTTCATTAGCAATGTTTTTTGAACAACGCGTTCTGAAACAATAAAATTTTTAAATGAAAAAGCTTAGCAATTATTGTTTTTACTCACGCTCTAGGAATTATATGAGGTGCTATAAAATCCATCGTGTGCATGAGTGGCCAATATGATTCAGGCTTTGCACCACTGCCAGAAGGTAAATTTCCTTGTCTCTTTTCTCGGGCATATCGGTCTCGCAGATAAGCCCATCTTTTAATACACATTTCCTCTGCCAAAATATAATAATAAACATGTTTATAAAGATACATATGTATGCATAACATAATTATCAAACTTACCTGGAATCTGCATCTCCTTGGAAATTTGTTTCCACACATTTTTCTTTTTTTCTCAAAGTTTGTAGCCTGGGGAGTATTTATTGTAGAGACACTAATTTGCCTGCACTAATATTAATTTTTCATCGTCCATTTTCATTTAATTAGATTTTTTTAAATTAATTAGAATTATTAGAAAAATTGCCAATATTTTCAAATAAATTATAATTTATGAAAATCCGAAATCAACAAAAAATAAACATCATTGATGGTAACTGAAATGTTTAATTTTTTTATGTTTATCCAAAAATAGTACCAAAACGACAAAAATGTACTAAGATATAAATAAATTAACATTTTGATAATTTTATAAATTACAATTTATGTTATATTTTCTGTAAAAATTTTTGTGGACTTTTTAACAAAATGTGTTATAAAAATTTGAAAAATAAACAATTTTATTAAATGTATGTAAAATAAAATAAATATTCAAAATATTTACATATAAATAAAAAGTACGAAAAAGGCCATTTGTGCCACAATTCTATTTAACATACAATAGTGCCTAAAAATGTACTAGTACTAAAAATGTCACGTAAGAACGTAAAAAAAATATTTTATACAGGTTGGGACGTTACAGCTACGTTACATTTTATTTCGGTAACCATTTGTATTGGTTTTCAATAATCAAAAACGATCAGCTGACACGTTTTCTTACGGATACAGTACGTTACGGTTGGGTAATTCTACCTTTACACATTTTGCATACATTTACCAAAGGTCCTTGGCGCTAGTATCCTTGCAATTTCCCTAATAACCCAAGAAAATGGTCATAATTTTCAACCCATGTTTAGTTTTTGAAGGATAATTGCAATTATATTCCGATTTTCTAGTAGAAACATTTACATTAAAATATATTGCTTGTCATCAAGTATCAATATTTCAAGAAAATATATTGTTTTTTATTACGTTAAAAACCCATTCCTCTGATAAAAAAGTCGTTTTGAGGCAGATTTCATAAAAAAGTAAGCAAGTTGTTCATTATTTATATCGTATGTAGAGTGGGACAAAAAGTACTGAGAATTGCCCACTGTTACATATACGTAACACCTTTATTATCCTCTTTATAAGTCTCCGCAAAGACATGGTATATATTTATAAACAATTAGGTAATAAACATTAATTACTTCTTTATAAGTTTACGTCAGAAACTTTTTTTAAAAACTAACTACATAGAAGTAATTCTAAGAATTCATTCCTCGAAAAATACGACTTTTTGCAGGTTTACGAAATAGGCACTTTACAAAATAACCCATAAATACAATTCTATAGGCAAAAATTACTCAAATTCGATTTATAATCGTTAAGAACATGTTAAGTTAACCTATCCATCAGAAAAAAGTAACTTTGCATTTTCCATTTCTGTGCATTTCGAGTCCAAATTCGAATTAATTTGCGTTACGTATATGTGTACGTATCTGTGGGCATTAATGGGTTAAGTCATTATTTTAACACGGTGATGTCAGGCAAGTACTTCCACGCTCGCTTACAAATAGGGAGTTAAAGAAGTACTTGCAATTTCTCTCACAAAGAAGTTGTTTAATAAGTTGTTTTATTTTTCAAAAATATAAGAGCCAGCTAGAATACGAACTGTTCTACTTTTTTTGTAAAACACAATTCTTATAACACGCAATTAAATAAAATGTGCAAACAAAATGACAAAGCCGTAAGTACTTCTATATCAGATTATATGAAAGTCATTACTAGAGTACTTCTAAGTAATGCAGAGTAATTGGTTATAGAAGTACACAAGTAATTGGTTATAGAAGTACACAAAGGGCTACCCTTTCCAACGTATGTAAAATATGTACAGAAGTAAATGGGAGTAGTATTTAGTTTTAAGTTTTAATTTGCTGTTGCACAGTGGGGCAGAATGGAAATTTTTTGGAAATAAATCTGGCATTTCTAAACGGCTGATCCGATTGGCGTGAGCGTAGCCAAGGAGTATTCGAGTTTAAGTTTTGAAGATGAACCCTGCAGATGCCCCAGGGACGGCGCTGTGGCGGCTCAAAATAGGGTACCTACGACATGTAAAATTTTTAAACTCGTGCCATTTTTTGTTTTTCACCCAAATACAAAGATTTTTATATTTTCTGAAAACGCTCGATGAGATCTTGAAAAAACATGCTTGGACATACTACTTATCTCTTATAATATCAGAGTTATAGGAATTTAAAAATTTAGTGATACAAAATTTACCATACCTTGGTCCGCCTTTTTTTGAATACCGGGCGTAATTTTGCACCAAATGGACTCAATTTTTTCTTGTTAGTTAGACAACAAAATTTCCAATAATATACAAGAAATTTCAGATCAATATCATTTACAGATCCAAAAATATACGTTTTTTAATTTAAAAATTCAAAAAATTTTAGATTTTTGCCGTTTTTTTTACCAAAAATGTGTCTTAACTCTTTTATTAATAAAATAAAATTTTCTTTAAGAACATATAACAATTTTATAGTTTTCTAAAAGGTATCTTTACGCAGAACGCTTTAGCGGAAAAAACTTGTCCTATTTTTTGAAAATGTTGCCACTGCGTCCTTCCGAATATGACCTATTTTTTATCAAAACTTCAACTTTGGGCGACATGTTCTAAAATCCCAAAGCTGGGATCAGAAAACTGAAAGCAGTTTTGGAAACCTCAATATGTTTTCTATTTACTCCAAAAGTATTTTCCCAGCCCTGAAGGAAATATGGACCCTATGGGCAAAGAACTAAAAATCCCATTTTTGGGATTTTCATTCCTATTTTTGGGAATTGCGGGATGCCCTTTGACCTTTTCAATTTTTTTTTTTGCATTTTCTTATTTGAAATGACAAATTTAACAGGCGTTGAAAATTTCATTGAGTTTTGTTCATAAATAAAGATTTTGTCTTATATTACATATTTGTTAAATTTCTAAAACTATGATTTATATCAAAATTTTAATAGGGTCGCAGATAGCTACAACAATTTAGTCCATATTTATCTCTTAATATCATTTTTTAGTCAGATATGGAAATTCTCGACCCTTTACAAAAAATTTCAAGCCAATATCTCAATTACATTCAAAAATATGTTCATTTAAACCTGTGTCCTTTAATTTCATCTTTTTCATATTTTAGTATTAAGTATGACAGAACATACATTTGGTGTTGAATAAAATATTTGGACAATTTTTAAAAATTATTTAGTTAATTATTTTATTAAAGACTATAACATTGTATATACAATAAAAAAATTATAATTTCATTATGAGCCACGCACAACAACACCTTTCCCGCCCACCGAAATATAAAACACAATTTAATACAATATCATCAGTTAGTATAATAGCTTTTTTTATTTGAACTGTTTATCTTAAACATAATACAATTAATTCTTACAACCTACTTATATAGTTAATTCCTAACACTACTTATTTTCTATAAAATAATCTGTCATATCGGTATACATATCCAGAAGGTAATATAAGTCCTTTAAATCTTGCTTGTTTTGAGATGATAGAGTTTCATAACAAATCCATCTTTTTCGCATAGTTGAAAGAACAGGATCAGAAGATAGAAGTAAACTATTAAAAATATCTTCATTCTGTGATTGCCTGGAGCATTTTCTTGAGCTGAATAGTTGAACATGCTTAAAATCTCGTTTCCTCGCTTCCTGGGCTTCTTCTGTTAACTCTCCAAGTGGAAGAATATTCGATTCAATTATTATTTGACCATGACACAATACTTTGTGGACTGTTGGTGTTAGTTCCCTCCATGGATACAGAGATACAAGTAATTTAGAAATTTCAGATGTATATTCCCCAAATCGATTTCCATTAATTTTATGTTTACTATTCAGTGCCATTAAAATAGTGTTAACTCTTCGAAGCAACTCCTTGTCGATTCCAGTTATTTTTGAAGTAATTTCAAAATCACGAAAAAACCATCTCTCCGTATTACCGTCATTTGTACTACCGCAACTTGGAAGTGGTTTGTCGATGTTTAATCCCATCTGAACTTTAAATTCTTCTTGGATTCTGCTTTTTTCCGCAGCTCTCAGTTCTTTCAATTCTTCATTATTTTTTGTTGATTTAGTAAGATTATCTGGCACACTTCTATATTTGAGGTCGTATGCTATGTGTAAAAAGTAATCCAAAAATCGTATTCTGGCATGAAGTGGTGAAATTCCGAAAGCCATGTCCGTCCTTCTGTCCGTCCGTCCGTCCGTCTGTCTGTTGAAATCACGATAGGGACCACACGAGAGGAGCTAGACAGTTGAAATTTTGCATAAATATTCTCTATTATTAAGGTTTGTTTGGTATTGAAAATGGGCAATATCGGTCCACTTTTTCGGATAGCCCCCATACAAGTGGACCTCCAAAATACAGCTTTAACGGGCATAACTGTTTTATAAGTAGAAGTATAGCGATGAAATTCGACATAAAGAAGTTTAATGTGAGCCAAAATCTTTCTACCAAATTTTTTGAGGATCGGCCTATAAATGACCCTACCCCCCATATAAGGTCCCCTTATGAAAATTACTTTAACACTCATTACTGGTCCCAAAATGCAAGTATAGCAATGAAATTCGGTATAAGTATGTTTCTTACGAACCAAAATCTCTCTACCAATTTGTTTTAGGATCGACCCATAAATGACCCTACCCCCTATATAAGGTCCCCTTTAGAAAATGACTTTAACACTCATTACTGGCCTAAAAATTCGAGTATAGCGATGAAATTCAGTATAAGTAAGTTTCTTACGAACCAAAATCTCTCTACCAATTTGTTTTAGGATCGGCCCATAAATGACCATACCCCCCATATAAGGTCCCCTCCTGAAAATGACTTAAACACTCATTACTGGCCCTAAAATGCAAGTATAGCGATGAAATTCGACATAAATAAGTTTCATGTGAGCCAAAATTTTTCTACCAAATTTTTTGAGGATCGGTCCATAATTGACCCTACCCCCCATATAAGGTCCCCTTTAGAAAATTACTTTAACGCTCATTACTGGTCCAAAAATGCGAGTATAGCGATGAAATTCGGTATAAGTAAGTTTCTTACGAACCAAAATCGCTCTACGAATTTTAAAATTTTACA